TAGCAAAGCATCCAGCTATAAGGTTTGGAGAGAACCTTTAAGAGAAACAATAAATCTACACCAACAGAAACGTTTTGCCTCCTCTTCCTATTATTATCTGAGAGCTGCAACGTACAAAAGCTGTCCAGCTGATGCAAATGCTCATAAAAGCAGCATGCTATTTGTGGCATTTGTCACGTAATATGTGGCAATTGTTTTACTCCTTAAAAATGGTGAAGTTAATGCATCATCAATATGAATTTTCTTTACATGCACTAAGAAAGAAAAAAAAATGTATAGTTTAGTTAGAAATATAAGTGTGAGTTGTTCACTGATAAATGAAGACAGCAATATTTATATAACTGTACTTTTTATTCTGTTATTAGTATTCAAATTATATATTTCTAATTGTTGTTTTTTTATTCTATTTTATTTATCTCAATTTTTCTCTCTTAAAATGAGATTTGATCACTATCTTGTTTACAAAGTTGTACCGATATGTAATTATCCGTTTTACAGCAGCACAAGGTAAAGAAAACAGTGTAGTTAGTTGAATTATTACTGATATCAGTGTACTTCTCACAATTGTTTTTGACTCGTGTTTAATTTTCCAGTCAGCTTTAATATAACTGGCATGCAGATGTGAAACAATGACTATCAGAAGCAAAATAGCTTTACTGTATTTGTTCATGCTCCAAATTATTATGTTTAAGGCTGCAGCTCTCAGATAATGCTTTCCCATACAAGCAAAATACAAAAACAGCCTCATTTTTTGGAGATTCTCCTCACTGTCCAAAGTTAAAATCCTTCTCTAACAATCTTGGTGGTTTTCCAACTTGGAACCATAGCACACTCAGCTCAGGTGTGACGTTTGACCTTTGAACTCCAAGACAAATGAAACGCAGAATGATTTCAAGGATAGATAAAGGAAAATAGACATTCCAATGCTTTTGTCAAAGAGTCAAAAAAATAAAAATAAAACTTTGCTCAAACCAAATGATTAATAGAGAAGTTCATGTAACTATAGTGAAGGAGCTCTTTTGAGACCCAGATGGAATGGCAATAAAAAAAAAAAGTCAGACTTCAGTTGGAAAAAAGTCTTCTTCTTTAGCAAATAAGTGGAATAAATAAAATTAAGTTTCTGTGTCTGTTTTTTCCAAGAGAAATTACCAGGTTTCTTATTAAACATTCCCTGGCATCACCTTTTCACCAAGCCACATGTCAAACATCAGCCACAGGTTAAAGTTATTCCCATTTTCCCAACATAAACAGATAAATACTTTTCACCCTTTGTGTCGAGAGATGCTGCTGTAGAGCTCAATTAAAAAAAGGCTGGGACTTTGTGTAAAATATAAGCAAAACAGAATTTAATAATTTGTAAATGTTATAAACCCATATTTTTTGTGCAAATAAGCTTAGTAGACATACCAGGTGTTTAAATAATGATATTGGGGCATTTTCATAATATAGTGGGATAACCTTTAATTAGATTGCACTAACAGGTGGGAAGGGTTTATCCCTGAAGCGTCCTCTCTTCCTTTAAGAATTGTGTGTAAATGTCCCGTTCTTCTCTGATACCCTAGGTTGCATGGTTTGCCACCCTCTCAAGTGCCACATATTTTCAGTCAGTTAAAGGTCTGGACTGCAGGTACAGTTCAGCACTCGCACTCATCCACTAATAAGCTTTGTTGTTATGGATGCAGGTGGTTGAACATTGTTATAGTTCTATAGATCTCAGGCATCCAGAATTTGCCAGCTTTGACTTTGGCACACAAATTTTCTAATTTTTATCATGATTTGATGATCGATAGATAATGTGATGTTCCATCTTCCTAGTTTCCATTAAGAAACTTTTTTTTGTGGGGGAAATTGTTCCACTATTGTGAAATGTGTTTTTTCACAGACTGGTAAACGTTAAGAGATCCAGACTTCTTACTATACCCAGTACTGTTACTGACCAACTGGGAATTAGTTGCAATGTGCTCCTCCAGCTTCTTATTGTGCCTCAGTTCGAAGGATTTCAAAAGTTTTCTAATTTCCTGGTTTAAACGGTTGTTTGAAAACTTTCTGGGAATGTTGGCAAATCTGACAGAATTTCAATAATTTGTTAATGTTTTATTCATTCGTTTATAAAAGTTGATCTTTCTAAAAGTCAGATTTCATATAGATTGATTAAATGCATATAGCTATACTACTGGTATTTATTTCTCTTAAGTTTGTATGTATTGTTATATGTTAAAAACAAAACCAAAATTCCGCTTTTAAAAAATACAATATTATGTCAGAACAATAATGAGTTTTAATATAAAGAAAAACTGTATTGTTAGACAATCAAAGGTTATAACTGAACAATCTGGTTGTTTAAAGAGTGCCATATTCAAGTGTTAGAGCATGGAAAACGGAGAAAAGAATTGGAATTACCTGGAATAAACGCTTGGATTATGTTCCTCTGTCTTTATGTGCTGTAATTCAATAATATAATAGGTTCTATTGATAATTAAACTATTAAAAGAGATCAAAATATTGATATTTCATCTTAAGATGCACCTTTAAAATATGGGTTTATGTTTGTAATAAAATCAGTGAAATCTGTGTTCGTTAACATTTTAAACAGAGTCCCAAATGTTTTTGGTTGTTTCCCATCAGGCTCTAACCTGCCTGACTAGGAAGTTGGTTTTGCCACAAGTTTTGAAAACTCACAAAACCCCTGCCAGCCTACAAAGCTGTACATTTTTACACTAGAGATTTTAAACAGATGATTGTATCAAAGTCATTAACTTTATAAGTGTTAGTTTTTACAAACATGTTAACAGTATTTAAAGGCGTTTTCATAGGTTTTTGTGCAGCATAGAGAACAGCCCTCTGCTAATCCCGATAGCTGAGAATGTTTGTGGTTTCAGGCGTTTCATGACTTTCATCTCTTTCTGTACCAAGTAGGCATCAAGTCTAGAGCCGGTAGAGACACCAGGCGGTTAGCTAGCACTACAAAAGATATTTTGCTTCCTGGTTAGGCAGTTGTAGGAAACACTAGTCTAACAGTATTTCAATTTTTAGGTAGTAAGCTTTATCAATCAGCATTACATGACTGAGCCTTGTGTTAAAGACCCTTTGTGCTGTTTTCTTTTTGCTGGATGCTGACCCTCAGACATTTACACAGGATTTCAACTATAAGAATGTTTGACATGAAGGAAGCACGAGAATCGCCCAGCGTTTTGTTGACTGCTACGACAAACTTCAAAAATTGTGGGATTTTTCCATCTCTTCCTTAAGTTTCCTTCCATCCCTATCTGTGCAAAAATTACCAATGACAAGACGTCCCAAAAAGCAAAGCATTAGATTTATAGGTTCGTCTACATTATCCTACTGAAACCGTAACTCCAACCAAGGACAACAGTTGTTCAGTGGCTCCATGTGCTACGGACACAAATACTTGTCTGATGAACTTTTTAAAAATGATTCCCTGGTGTCATTCTCATCATGCATTCTTATAAACTTGTACTTTTAGACCCGCCCTTCCAAGTCTGAGGTGTCAGGTCATCTAGTTGAATACAGCACCATGGTTTAACACAGGGTGGACAACAGCGCCACTCAGTGTTAGGTGTGTTAGATGGCAGGGAAATCCCTGCCTTCGGTTTCAATGCTGATACTGCCTTCATACATGTTCATGCAGTCTTTCAGTCTCTGTGTTGTGCAAATGTCTAAAGATATTTATTCTTTAAATGTGTCGAAAAAGTACTGTAAGAACTGATTTTATGTTCCGGAGCCTAAAAACAAGTATGCTTTACTTGTATGAACTCGTCTGCCACTCCAATGTTTGTTTTTGTCAAAGAAATGAACTATTTTTATTTTGCATTTGAAGCCAAAAGATTCTCGGAAGTTCAGGGTGTTTTGTGAAAAATGCCAATAAATGATATGGAAATTTATAAACATTCTTGAACACAATTTTTTTCCTTAAAGGATGTAGAATATCTTTTACGAGGGAAATTCAGCTACACAAGGGTTAAAAAAAAAAAAAAGGCAAAGTGATATCACAGGGGGTCATCATGCGACCCATGAGTACACTGTCTAGAGTCAGTCCCCCAGGTTTTCAAGGTTTCAGTACAGCTGATTGCAGCAGCAAAAGCCTTTTAATTGGCTATCCAGGAGGGGGGAAACTATGGAGGATTTTTCTGCCAAAACTCTCATATACTCCCTTGTTTCTGCTCTCAAATCTAATGCTTCTTGCACAGATATTTTCTCTTCTTTGCTTCCTTGCACACAAACCAGTCTCTGCTCGGGTCAGAGGCTCTTGCACCTGTTGGCTTTGCTTGTGGATTTTTTCTGCTCTCAGACCAGAGTCGGATCATCCTCTAGCAAGCATTCCAGCCAATAGAACAGCCTCAAAGGGTTTGCTTGTTTCCTGTTACTTTTCAATATCAGGGTTTCCACAGATTAAAAATTTAATTAAGGACTTCATTGGCATTTAAAATTCATTAAATGTGATTGTGGCATTTGAAGTCTTTCTTAAAAAAAAAAAAAAAAAAAAAGTTTATAACAGTTTAGTCAGCTATATCAGATTTATCTGGCTCTGCCTGTTTGTGTGGAACCGCTTCTGGTGGATCGTAAAGCCGGATGTTTGGAAAGGAAGCTCGAGGCAAAAGTGATTGGAAAACGAGGAATTCCGGGACAGGGATGTAGCCTGTCAGGGTAAAGATGAAGGATTTTGCCGTTATAACAGTCATGGGTACTTGATGGCATTAAAATTTCTAATCACTAAATTAGAGTTACTCATTCCTGTATAAACCCTGAATATAAGTTGAGCTAAAACCACATTTAGGACAATGGAAAAATAAGGGATTCAAAAAAAAATAATAAAAAATGTTTGCTTCTTCGCAGACTTACAGTACTTGGAAGTGCGACTTGTGTTCAGCTCAGGCTTATAGATTGACCCAGATTCTAGACCATCATGGCTAAAAAAAAAAAAAAAAATTCTGTGTAGCTAAAAGCACACATTCTAATCTTCTTTACAGCAAGTCAGACTAGGGCATTTGGTTGTGATTTTATTGTTTAGTCATTTAAGGAAAAAAAATGACAATTCTTTTATTCCATCAAGCAGCCACTTTTGCTCAGTTTGACTGGGGCTCCGGTGCAGGCAGGAGGCTTCACTCCCTGTGGATGGTCAGAGAGTTGGAAAAAATTAGGAATTTACAGGACTGAGGTTCTTGCCAGCCAGTGTGATTCACCAACACCCTACCACATTTGTCAGTTTTACAGATGCCAGAGTGAAACTTGCCTTGTAGAGCTCACAGACCAAATGAAACAGGGATGATGCCGCCTTGGCTTCGTTCTCTTCGGTGTACTCCTGCAGCACAAAAGTGGCCCATTACCATTTCTTTCTTTGAAGAAAGTAAAGTCAAGACCTTCACTGTGACCATCTAAAGCTTTAGGTCTCACCCCATTAAATGTGACCCAAGGAACATGAGTATGGGCAGGATTCAGAGCTCTGGTCATGACAGCATAGTCATGCATCAGCCTGTAACCCAGACGTCCGGTCACACATGCATCAACCGTGGCCCAGGACACAGAGGGAGCATACAGCTGGAGACACTAAAGGAGAAGAAAAAAAAAAAAAAGTCAGATTTAAAATTAAATAAACCCACAGAATAAAAGACACTCACTGGCTCTGCAGCATTGAGGACATTTGAAGCAGACTCCATGCAGTGGATTATCTGAAAGGCCAGGGATGTTTCAGTCAAATGGATGATGCAGGCCTGAAGGAGAGAGACATTGTTTTAAACCTCTGCATTAATCGGCACAAGATACTTTAATTTATTATCAAACCTGAATCATATTTCCTCTGCATTCTGGTTCTCCATGTTGACAAGTGAAGGGACTGTTTGCAGATAGTGTTTCCTGTTGAAAAATAATTTGTCTTATATTTTAGTTGCACTTTGAAAGCAGCAAGAAAGCTTGCTCCTTTAGGGCGACCATTATGCACATTTTGGATTAATTCCTGCTCCATGACAAATCAACTTCTCCTGAAGCTATACTCAGTGTCACACAAGCCCACTAATGACCAGTTTAGCCAATTTAGGTAAAGTCAAACATAAAAACCTTTATGACACAACACTGGACCTGGAGTACCAGGATTTCCAAAACCCCTTCAAACATAGTTCATTGCGCTCCAGTTATGTTTGAAGGGTGACAGATGTACCTTGGCATTGCCGTAAGGAACCAACGTTAGGGACATGATGTCCTGAAGCATTGTCCAGGTGGGGAACAGCTGTTTGGTGATGAAGGATCTGCAATCTGGACAGAGGGTCTCATAGTACAGGGTGAGGGCGACACGAGGAACAGTCTGGTTTGGCTTTATGGCACCGAGCTCCATGCACTGCTTCTGGACCTGGGAGAAAAAAAAATAAAATATCCAACATACTTTGACCCATCTCTAAAGCTCAGCAAGTTTGGCTTATTTAAGCCAGAGCAGCTCCAGTCACATGAAGAGCCATCAGTCCCCAATTTATGAAGCATGACTTTAATTTGAGCTCAGACCACAAGATACTTCAATCACAGCTGTAAACAGGATTATTAGAAGCTTACATTTTGAAAATAAAATGCTGCACCTTATAAATCTTTGTATTTGGCATCTAAACACCTAGCTTCAAGACATCTCAGCTTAAGTTTACAAAAAGAAATATTTTATTTTCTAATCCTCTGCAGTCTGTCAGACTCACCTTGCATTCAATGGCAATCTCCAAAGACCGACACCATTGAGACGGAGGGTAACGGCAGGCTGGTTTGGGATGAGAGAGCCCAAAACTTCTATGGTCTGTAGAGATGAGGAAAACCGCAGCAAGCAAGAAGCTCATCATTGTGATTCTTAGCAGGGGTTGGAAAAAATAAAAAGGTTCCACACAGCTCTTCTAAGACAGACGGCCAGAGAAGACTGAGAGACTCCTCCTCTGAAGAGCTGCTTTAATCAACCCCATCATCATCATCAGCTGATGAACACCAGGTGTTCCACATCCATCGTGTGCCTACAAGCTTTCATGTAAATCTTTATACTCTTTAACTGATTTGTACATTATGCTGAGATTAGAATCAAAGTTCGTCTTTGGAAATGTGGTTTTCAAATTAAAGAAAGATCATGCGGAATTTATTTATTTGAAAATGATAACATGTAGACTGACCAGAAATAACTTTTGCTGTTTGATCTCATTCATGTTTTCCCATTTATTAGAATTATTGAAAATATTGCAATAAAATATATCAATTGTTAAATTCAAAGGACTTTTGAAGAGAAGCTATTCACATTTTTTGTTACTTACTGAAAAAGTTTTTCTTTTCTTTAAATAAAATATTTTTTAAGCCCATTTAATGTAATGCAGAAAGAAGCCTCTCTAAAGATCCCTGAAAGCATAATAAAAGAGCTCCCATTGTGTTTATTCTTAAACTTTTTTTTTTTTTTTTTTGTCATAGCAACATTTTGACATATATACCTCCATCAAGTTAAATCCATTTTGGTTTGGGTTTGATTCCAACTGGCTTGATTTATTAACTTTTTCTTATTAAATTAGGCCTCTTGTGGTGCCTCCACAAATAAGAATAGTACTCTGGACCAGAGGTCTTTATTCTATGTCCATTTGCATTTATCATATTGTAAATGATGTAGCTACCAGTTTCTTCCTTGTATTTGGTGCAAGGCAAATTTATTTGTACTGCAGAAACCTGTATAAGGAAAATCTAATGAGCTTTGAATAAATTAACAATAAAATAGAGGAAAAGTAAAAGCAGAATAAAGAAATGACGATAAACATGATAAAAGCAGATCATAAAACAAATAAAACAGCTGAACCACAACCATAAACTACTAACAGTTTAAAGTTAACAGTTTAACTTCAACAGTTGAAGACAGTTTTAAATAATTGGGTTTTTACTTTGACTTTAAGATCTCAGACTTTCAACACTTTTACAGTCTACTGGGAGTTTGTTCCAGATCAGTGGAGCATAGGAACTAAATGCTGCTTCTCTATATTTGGTTCTAGTTCCTGGGTTTAAAGAGTAGGCTGTAACTAGAAGACCTGATTAGTGTGGGAGGTTGATATACTGACAACAGATCTGTTATGTATTTAGGTGCTGATCCATTCACTGATTTATAGACTAACAGAAGGATTTTAAACACTATTCTCTGAGCTACGGGGAGCCAGTTTCAGGACTTCAGAACCAGGCTAATGTGATCTACTTTGTTAGTTCTAGTGAGAACATGGGCAGCAGCATTTTGGATCAGCTGCAGCTGTTTGGTGGACTTTAAGGCAAACCTATGAAGCCACTGTTTCCGTAGTAAATTGTAATAAAACTAAATGCATGTATGAGTTTTTTCTAGATCTTGCTTGGACATTAGTCCTTTAATCCTGAAAATGTTCTTCAGGTAGTAAATGGCTGAATAAGTATCTGCCTTTATGGGTTTCTGAAGGTTCAGGTCTGAGTCCATCATGACGCCAAGATTTTGGCCATAATCAGTGGTTTCTAGTTTTAGTAGCTGAAGCTGTGAGCTAACTCTGGATCTCTCCTCCTGTTTTTTTATTACCTCAGTTTTGTTTTGATTCAGTTGTAGAAAATTATGGTGCATCCACATATTGATCTATTCTAAGCATCTAGTCAACCCTCTGATGGGTTCATAGTCACCTGGTGACATTGGGATGTAAAGCTGTTTTTGTTGTCTGCATAGTTATCATAGCTGATGTTGTATAGTTTGAGCTAAGGGGAGTATGATGTTGAATAGCAGGGGCCCCTGAACGGAGCCTTGAGGAACCCCAAATGTAATTTTTTTTCTGCTCTCTGATTTAAAGTTCCCTGCTGACACATCAAAGTCCCTGCCCTTCAGGTAGGATTTAAACCAGTCTAGTGCTGTGCCAGAAAGGCCAATCTAGTTTTCCAGATGCTCCGATAAAATCAAGTAAGCACTGAGGTCTGAATTTATACAGGTTCCATTTAACATCTTATTCTGGTTGTTTTTAAGAGGTCACTTAACTTTTGAAACACAACTGCCCAACAATAACATTTGTTCTGCTCTATTTTTTTTAAGAGAGCAATTTTTCTTTTAAATCATTTGATCACGTATGGAAAAAAAATAATTAGGATATTATTGTTTCCTTTATTTTTCTCATCCTATTCAATCTTTATGCCAACTTTTCTTTAGTTTTAACCAAAGACACCGTCTTCACCATCTTCCTGTGCTCTTTTCTAAAATTACTGATTTAATTTCTCATTTACTCACTGCAGCTATCATTTTGACAACTTAGGGGCGCCATTTGTAATTTTTTTTCCTTAATTCTGCAGTTCCTTCTTATCATTTTTTTAAATTGTTTTTTTTTTGAGACAGTTAAATTAGATAAACTTTTTTATGACTTTTTCTGCCCATTTTGGGATGTGCTATGGTATCATGTTTTCATTTTCATTTTTCAGTCATGTTTTCATTTTTATTATAGATCTACAGATCGCAAGACAAAATGGTTACTTATAATGCCAGTGGTTGGTTGTCTCTATGTTGCATTACTATTCCATTATTTTTAATCATACATATCCACTATGTTGTTAACTTCCCTCTTACAGCGTTAGGCTTGGCTCTCAAGTTTTCTGAGATTTTGACTTAATTGAGATTCAATTCTGACTTGGACAAACTTTAACTGTTATACTGTTTTGTCTACTACTAAAGCACCAGATTAAATTCCCATATTTGCATGTTGTGTTCTATTTTCAGGTGCAAATGGATTATCAGCATAAGTGGCCAGGATATTCACTGTGTTCACAGGAATCTACATCATCTTCATCACTCTCCTGGCTGTAGCGGCTGGTAACTTTGTCACAGGGAGCAGTTTTGAAAACAGTCATATAATGTACAGTATTGCATTATTTATTTTAAAATCCTGCCTGGTACTCTGTGTTGCAGAAGTAATTCTGAAACTTTTATTTCAGCCTTGCAAGGAATTTGCAGTTCTGGTGATGATATTGAAGGCCAGCGATTTTCTATTCCTGTTATCCTCCAGGATCTGATTAGGTGAGAGAAAAAGTGTTAAACCAGAACTAATGCTGGTTGTTTCTAGCTACATATTTGGCTTTGAGGGGAGTCATCTCATCAAGTGAGTCCAGTCTTAACATGATGACTTGATGCGATGACTGGAGTCTGGTGTGCTATTGCTTGATTAGAAAGAAAACCTGCAGCCACAGGGCCCTTTGTGGAACCAGTTTGACACCCCTGCTTTACATCATTCAGTGCGGTAGCACATTGCGTCCTGAGCGATGGGTTGAATTCAAATCATACTTTTTCCACTGTTGAACTCTAAATATATATTTCTTTCTCTTAATAGATTTTTCAGATTGATAAAAGCATTTTCAAGATTTGATAGAACTCAACCAGCAAGAATAAGTTACAAGTTCTGCTCATCTTAAACTAAATAAATAACTAAGAATATGCCTGGCTCTGCTATAAACAAAAACACAAGTAAATGATAAGGGTGTTTGATAGTTATAAAGCTCATAAAAAGCTTTTTTAAAATTTGTTTATTATCTTTTATTTCATGCATTTGGTTTCTGGTGATTTAAATTGTACGGGTAAATATGTCTGAATGAAAAGAACCACTTAATAAACCATTTCAAATTTATTTCAGAATTGAAAGTGCTTACTTCAACAGATTTTTTTCAGTCGGGTAAAGTCAGGTATTACACCAATAAAAAAGAAAACTTAAAAACACAGTTTCTTCCGAAAGGGTTTCTAAAAAAAAATAATAAACACTGTTTTTTAACAAGATGCGTGGTGTTGCATAATTAATGCAGGAAATCAACATTTACAGTAACAGGATTTCTTTCAAAAACAACAGGTTGTTTAATTCTGCTAAATTCCATTAATGAAAAAAAAAAACACTTTTAGGCATCCACAAAGGAAAGAAAATGACAAGGTTAAAGAAACATTATTTTAACACAGAGTTTAGAATGTGAAACAGAAATTAAAGATGGTATTAAATTATACGCACAGCTCAGAGTACCTGCAAAATGAATATTCTACAATGCTACACTCTTCTTTTTAACTAAAAGAAAAGAAAAAAATAAATAAAACATTGCTGCAAGAGACCATGTGTTATGGCATGGAAGAAAGTTCTGAAGCAAAGACCAAGTGCTGCATTTAGAGTAATATAAATGCAAAAATTGAACCTGCTGACTACTTTATTCTCAAAATCAACTTCTTTACCAGATACATTCCAAACTCCAACCATTGTACTTTCCACCTACTTACATCGCTGGGTAAGAACACATCTCTAACCTTTCACATGACAATTCCGTTTAGCAACCAAGCAAGTAAGAAAAAAAACCTTTCCTGAAAAATATAATTTATCCAAAGCTTCTTTTAGGTGATGTACAGGTAGTACTGAGGATTTTAACAATGATTTATTTCTGTTGTATGATGATGATTATCACTTACACCAGAAAATTAATTCCACTGTAAAGTATGTCCACGTACAGTTCAGTATATGCACTAATTTGGTGGGACCTATTGCATGAATTACTACATCGAAGCATGGAGGCCGTCACGCTGAGGCATTCAGAAAGCCCAGGTTGCTTTCTGCATTCGGCTCATCTGCATTTCTGGGTGTGGTGTTTTCTTCTTAAAGGCACACTTTGTGACCTAAACAGTTGATGGATATGAATTATTTTAAATGGTTCCTCAGGCCAATATACAGCGCTTAACAATATCAATGCTACAATTGGGGCTCCCCTCTTGAAAAACCTGCTGTGCAAACTGGGAGAAGACACACTGTTGTTGGCCAGATCATGTGACCTGGAAGAACGTATCACTTTACGGCCACAGGCTCTTATGTAGTAATGGAGCTAAAGCTTTTGCTCTACTATGTTTTCTGCTCAGCTACTGGTTATGGCTGAGGCAAGGAAAAA